TTCATGACAGCATGGATGGAACTGGAGAGCATTATGCTAAATGAAATAAGCCAGGCAGCAAAAGATACCATATAATCTCAGTTATAAGTGGAACCTAATCAACAAAACAAACAAATGAACAAAATAGAACCAGAGACATTGAAATAAAGAACAAACTGACAGTGGCCAGAGGGGAGGGTGCAGGGGCAAGCAAAGGAGCACAAATAGAGAACTCATGGGCATGGACAATGAGGGGGACTGACTGTGGAAGTTGGGGGTGGGGGGACAGGGTAGGTGTGAGCAATGGGGAAACAGGCAGGACAACTGCAACTGAACACCAATAGATAAAAGTAAAAGGATATCAATAGTGTGGTTCCTTTGGGATGATGAAAATAGCATTCTATAAGAGCTTAGCCACATGGTTTATTTTGCATACAAAACTGTTGACTACTTGTTAGCATAGACCATCTTTTCAAGTGCATTCTACATATGCACCCACAAGTTCATTATGTTCTAAGGGTAGAGGTAATTGTAGAAATTCTTGTGGTTATCAAAAATAATTTTCAGAAACATAGGATTGAGCTAAATTAAATTTCTTATTTACATTTTTACTTATAAAACTTTTAATATGCAGTGTAAATTTCCAGGTGAATATGTTATATTTCCTAAAAATATTTAATCATACAACCTTCATTGAATAATCACAGGAGATATGTGGGACAAAGTTTGAGAAATGCTAGTAGAGATAGCCCTGGGCTTGGGTGTGCCTGTTACAGAGCATGGGCTGGGGGGTGATGATATACAATTACCAAAAGGACCCCTGCTAGGTTGGATTATCCGCCACTTTAGGAAAGATGTCTCTCAATGCCAGAGATTTGTGAAAAGGAAAGAAAATGCTTATTTAAAGTTACACAGACTTAAGATAGTGACCTAATGTCTTCATTAAAATATCAAAGTCCTTTTGGATACCCACACATGCCCACAGTGCTTCCTTCTCCCCCTGCCCTAATTCAGCATACCGTATCTCAGGAAAAGAAGCAAATGTCATGATTCAGGCCACTGGCACCATCAGCTGTGTCGCCATCCAGGCAGGATCTCTAATTAATCCAAAGCCATGTGACACCTTTTCATGGCCTACTGGCAAGAATTCTTTGTACCCATTTTCCAGGCAAAGTCTTTCCTGCTTCCCAGACCATGTGGCCAAAGGGAGCACCCTAAAGTTGTGTGGTCCTCTTCTACCAAAGCTGCAGGGGTCCCCACTCTGGCCAAAACTGCATGGTTCTTCTCTCCACCAAAGCTGCAGAGAGGAGGGGGTCGCCACTCTGCCAAAGCCAAGTGGCGGTTCTCTGCTAAAGCTGCATGGTGATTCCCTGTACCCAAGCTGCGGGGGTCCTCACTCTGCCAAAAGCACGTGGCTCTCTCCTCTACTGCCACAGCCACTGGTCCTCTCTTACAGGGCTGCTGTGTCTGGGTTTAAATCCCAGGCACACCCAAGTCCAGGCACACGCCAATCCTCCTCTGTAGCCCCATTTCCGACTCCTCCACATTGACTACACTTGCCAGTACTCTCATATCCTTCCAGCTTTACTGGGCTGCCATAGTGAGTCTGGGAAGCCATGGAGCAATCATCTCCAAGCTCTCACACAGGCACTGTAATCAGGGGGACCTGCCCCCCAGTTACATCTTCGGTGGAAGTGACTTCCATCCCCCTGGCTCAGAGCATGGCCACAGCTATTTAACATATCTATGCAACCAGTTAAAAGTTATAGATGTGTTCAATGACCACACCAGAGGTTAGCTGCAAAGCTGTGGCTGTACAAAACAGCTCTGCATGTTCCTGCTCTATGTGTCCCTTCTCCCAACTCACACCTGTGGGAAGAAGGGGTGAGGACATCCTAATATTTCCTGGACACCTTGAGTTCTGGACCCCTTCCAAATCCCTATTTGGGGCCCCCCTCTTGGCTGCACACTGTTTCATGCCTACTTACATTTGTTATTACTGACCATCTGGAAATGGTCTTCCCTGCTGAAAAGCTCCTTAGCCTTCTAAAGATAGCTATTCCCCTTTTCAACCTCCATTTAGGGCTTTCCTTCTTTCCCTTGTACTTCTCAGAACTACCCTTTCTACCTTAATTGTGTTCCAATTTCTCACCTTGTTCCAAAACAAGAAGTGGAAAGAATGAGGGGAAAGAAAAGATGTAAGAGATCTTTATGCCCACTACAGCCTAGGTTTTTTGAAATATAGATGAATTGTACTTTGGACTCCTGGAACATAAAAACATTGCAAGGTGCTCTGGTTCTACCAAACAGCTTGATAAAAGAGAGTGGGAAGTTACTACATGACCGAAGTCATGGGAGAAGCTATAAGAGTAGGTTTCGTCCCTCTGGGGACTCAGAAATGTCCCCAACCTGATGCCTCAAGACCTGTATCTCCTCACCCCTTAGCTCTCAGCTGTGCCCAATTGTATCTGTTCCGATGTTCTGGTGGCTCTCCTGCTTAAGGGAGTAATAACGTTAAAAGCTCAAACTAATGAACAGAATGCTTTACCTGCACTACCTGTTTTAGTCTTGGATTGATCCTATGTGGAAGGTACTACTGTCATGCCTTTTTTTTATTGCCAAGGAAAGTGACCTTCAGGAAGGTTTAAATGATTGCCCTTGTTGCACAGCTAGTAAGTCATGGATTTAGGACTAAAACCCAAGAGAGCTTGTCTCCAGAGTCTTAGCTAATGTATGTCTCTAATGACATGGTTCACAAGGGAGCAGAATTCCCTAATCCCAAAGGAAAGTTTATGTGCTCACTGGCTATGCTGAGTGCTATGCCAGGAGCAGTACATGCAGAAGAGAACACGATCTAACCCTTACCTGAAAAAAACTTCTGCACAGCACTTACTTCACTGAACTGTAGTTATTGTCTATTTTTTAATAGGTGGAGTTGCAAAAGCACTAAAGTGGAACAATTTATTATAGCTGATGAAGTTAGGGAAGGTTTCATAGAAGTAACAACTGAGCTGAGCCTGTTAGAGGATTTTAACAAATGGAAAACAGGAGAAAGTCCTCTGGGCAGGGGAGAGCACAAAGGTCCACAGCCACTGGTGGAGGCAGGAAATGGCGAGTTGTCCAGTACTCCTGCCCTATAGTCTTTGGAATCATTTCAGGGACAGAATTCACAGGATGTGTTCATGGATTGAAACTTGAGGCTGAGAGGGCTAAGAACCTTCTTTCAAGCTTGGATGGCTGGTAAGATGCTAACAACATTGATGGACAGACACATCTTGGGGGCCTGATATGGTGATTAGATCCAGATGTGCTTAGTCTGTGGTTCCTTAAGGTCCTGAGCTACAGATGTCCAGTCAGTAATTGGATATTTAGATTTGATTCAGAGCCACATGCTCAATACTGAAAGGTGAAATATTTCAACTGATATTAACTTTTATAAGAAAACCAGAATTTTTTATGCTTAATGTTATGAAATATTCATTAACTAGATATCTTCACATGTGTAAACACACATATAATATGTACACTTTTGTATATACCTAATATGTATATTGGACACATACATATATACAGGGTGGGGCAAAAGTAGGTGTACAGTTGTTTATATGAAAAATAATATAATAATTGATAATTCAAGAATAAATTCTGTGTTTTGTATATTCATGACTATAAGCCTACTTTTGCCCTACCCTGTGTGTATGTGTGTGTGCATGTGTGTGTATATATATAATGTATATGTTTATATGTATGTATATCTTCTATGAGAAAAGGCACTTTGAATTCCAAAACATTGATATAGGAGTAGATTTGGGGGTATGGCCTTATTTAAGATTAGACCTATCCATTATTTTTTCAACTGCTTACAGTATAAAATATAGTATTTTCACTGATTAATAATGAAATTGGAGATAGAGTTGCTAGTGTCCCAAATGTTACTCTTTGAGAAAAATAATGATTATCACAACATACATCTGTGGTAAAGATGATGACCTCTGAAAACTATTAAGAAAGTGGCTTTGTCTATATGGGACTGCCATTCCACATTATTTTTCTCTTTCTCTTTTCCTTTATTTCATATGTGTACATGTACACAAATGTAATATATTATTCGGAATCACAAATCTGAGATATGGATAAGCTAAGACATGCCCTATCACTTGTGCATTGCATTTGCAAATCAATAGAACTGAGTGGACTAGGATTGAATTCAAAATTGCCACACGCTAAGGAGGAAATAAGTCTTTCCATGACAAAATTCCACCTTTCTTGCAGCATCAGCCACAGGTATGTAATATGATTTTCCTAGCATGATGGGCAAATCCAGGACTGGAATGAACTTTCCAGGAGTCCCAGAACAGCATTTATTCTGGTGGCCCTCAATTCTCTGATTTTAGGGATAAAGTTGAAATTCCATTTGTGGTAACATAATTTTCTATACTTGTTAACATTTGATCCAAGGAGGAACTTTACATTTTTTCTAGGTGGCTTATAATACTACAAATAGAAAAGACATAGATTTGGTCTCATGTATCTCTTCTTCTCAAGCAGGTGTTAACCCACTCAAACCCGTGACCAGTAGAGTATAGTTCATTAGGTTTGACTTCTTTGGTGTTTACCAGTCTCAGTGACCATAAGTTGTTTTATTTTTGTTTTAAAAATGGCATTCACTGAGGTAAAATTGTATGTAAATTTCTTAGGGAATTCTTAGGGAAGCTTTAAAATCACCATTGAGTCACTCTGTAGGTGATGTGATCCAGGTTAATCATGATTTAAATGGTTAAAAAAAGGAAATCCTGACATAGTGCCTATTTACAATATAATACAGTGTTACACACATAAAATTTTGTTAACTGTACAGTGTTGTGCAGTTAAAAATTAGTTAAAAGGGAAGATTCTCATCTTAAAGGGTCATACCTCTAAAAAGGGGGATAAAGGAAACTTTAAGATGATATGTGCGCTCATGCCTATTGACTAGACTGTGGTGATGGCATCATGGGTTGGTATGCACGGGTGAAACTTACAACATGCAGCTGTCAAACATCATCTATCCATCTGTCACATGAAGCTTTTAGTGTACATTGGTTGCACCTTACTGGGGCTGTGGAGAAAAAAAGGAAATCCTGAATGAGAACCCAGAATTATTTCTGGTATGTACACATGTACACACAAATACAAATATACACACATCATAAATACATTCTCAATATGGCATTGGACATATGGCATTTTGCCAGCCTGAAATCACTGACCATATCTTAAGCCATTTTTAGTTTGGAAAGAAACCCTCCTCTTCCTTTACTGTAGTCTCCTTCTCTATCACTGTACCACTTGATCTGCAACACGTGGTTTTGAAGTCCATGAAGCAACATTTTCTTGTTATTTTTTCTTTGTGGTATCACATAGAGCAACTCTAGAACAATAGGTAAAACATTAGAACATAATGTCTAGAACATTAGTAAAAATCCATCAGAAAAATCAATGGTAATTTGAGTTTCACCAAAGAGAAATGCAAATTGATTGAACAGAACATAAGATCAGAATAATCACCAAGCTAATATGAATAATGATGTTATCAATAATGGTAAAGTGAGTACAACTAAAAATGTGTATTTTCTGGCCTTAGCATTCAGCCACCAACATTCAAAAGATATCCATTAAAGTAACAAATAAGGACAGGTGACTATGGGTCATGAACAGTCAAGATAATGACTTATGAAACCTTTCATTTCGCTAGATTGTATAAAATTCAAAGTGTAAATTTAATTATGTTTTAAATTGGTGACAATTCACAGTTTAAATACTCAAGAAATTTAGATACACAAAACTGCAAGATTATATTTTTTAAAATTCATTTTAAGCTTTTAATAGGGCGCTGGAGCTTTTTAAATTTAATTTAACTTGTTTTTTTGTCCTTTAGAAAATTCTAACAGCATTGTTGTTGAGAAAGTGATAAATATGCTAATCTTCTATATGAAAGTTTATCCATCTGTGGTCTGATGATCCCAGGGAAAAATGGACATCAGACAGCCCTTAAGCTGTTTAAAGGAACTGTGCATTCATGTGATTATGACTGTTTTAATTACAATGATAATTTTTGTAAAAAAAGTTAATTTAAATATATTTTGAATTACCCAAATAAACCCTTTATATTGTTCAAAGGGTATATTTGAAACTGTGTTTCTGGTCACACTAATAAAAAGTAATTACTTAAATGGTTTGTCTTAAATTTGATTTGAGATCCATAGACTAATGACAGTTCACAGAATTATTCAGTTGGCTCCCTATTTTTTCCAGTGTGGTAAGAACATAACATGAGATCTCTCTTAATAAAGTTTTAAATGCACAATAAGGTAGTGTTAACTAAAGGCATAGGATTGTACAGCATGTCTTTATAACTTGATCTTGTGTTGCTAAAACTTTATGCCTGTTGAATAGCAACTCACCAATTCTCCCTCCTTCCAGGCCCTGGCAATGATCATTGTACTCTTGCTTCTGTGAGTTTTACTGTGGTACCTCATACAAGTGGAATCATTCAGTGCTTGTCTTTCCATGACTGACTTATTTCACTTAGCATACTGTTCGCAAGGTGCACCCGTGTTGTTGCATATAGTGGGATTTCCTTATTTTTAAGGCTAAGTAATATTCCACATAAAAATTGTATATGCACATCATATTTTCTTTATTCATTTATCCGTCAGTGGACATTTAAGTTGTTTCTACATATTGGCTATTATAAATAATACTTCAGTGAACATAACGGTGGAGTTTGTATATATTCTTGTATTTCTAAGTTAGAGACACAGTGTTCCAGATTATTGCAAGGACAGGTTCACCAGCACATAAACTGTTTTCAATACGAGTACTTAGTATGTATGTAATACCCTGTGTAATAAAGCTATCACCTGTAACTAAGCCACAAGGAAGCCTTTCAGCTTAACCCTGAAGGAAACACACACATGCACACGCCCAACACACACATGCACACATTTGGCCCATACATACACACACAAGAAATAGTGATATTTTCCCCTCTTAACTAGATTTAAAGCAAGCAAAGAGGAAGGAAGGATGAAGAGAAGGAAAGAGAAAACAGATTCATCTTTTTTCTGAATTAACTACTATAAAATACTATCAGGAATTATAGGTGTAGCCAACATTTTTGATAGAACTATTGCTATTTCTGACTTCATTAATCTGGGTTTATGTAACAGCTAGGAACTAAAGGAAATACATAAAGTCAAGTCAGCTCTGTTCACATGATACCATGCAATGTATTTAACTACTGCATTTTACTCCTCTGTTCTCAATAATTTTGACTAAGTGGACTGTTATTTTGCCATTATGTGGATAAAAGTTTGGATGCAGTGTTAGCTAAAAAGCTTAGCTGTTGACAGGCATTTTCACTGCAGGCTGCTGAAAGCCAGCTTGCTATGTTGGCCACAATTTTGAGCCAAGACCTGTTTCGTGCTTCCCTGGTTGAAATTCTGTTCCAGTTCCTTTTTAAAAGATTTTGCCTTCCCTACTTTAAATGTCACTTAAAAGAAAGGTAAACCATTTAAGAATGACAAGTTGGGAAAACCCTTTCAAGAAAATGAATTAAGTGGTTTTGTAGCATATTAGCATACTACTTCATTAATTTCTAGATTTTTTCCACTGTTCTACGTGCCATAATTATTACTTGATTTTATTAAGCAATCAGTGCTATTTGATCTTTGCAAAATCTAAAGCAGTTTTTTCCTCTCTCTTTTTTTTAATTTTTTGTAAAACTACTTCTAATCTGGTCCTGGTCTAAGCTGATGTTTGCATTTCAATAAGGAAGACAAGAGCAATTTTTTTATTAACTCTATTGTCAACTGTATCCATCCTTTACAGTTTTACATTTAACCCTGAATTCCTTTTCCGCTACTTTAGGGCACAAATATATACCTAGTATTGCAACAGAAGGGAAATGAGACTTCATTTGCCAACTTTCAGAACAGATTCCAAATCCAGTTAAGACCAAATCCAGTTAAATTAACCATTTGCTAACAGCAAATGGTTAATTTATTTTTTATTTTTTTTTATTATTCAGTTACAGTTGTCCATCTTTAAAAATTTATTGATAGGAGAGAGAGAGAGAGAGTCATTGTTCCACTTATTTATGCATGCATTGGTTGATTCTGCATGTGCTCTGACTAGGGATCAAACCTGCAACCTTGGCATATAGGGGCAACACTCTAACCAACGGAGCTATCCAGCTTAGTTTTTGAAAAGTCCTTTTCTTTACATCTTACACCTATTTTCCAGGCTCAATGTCCCTATCCACTAAATGTTCATTGTGTCCATGTGCCTGCTAGGGGCCTCTTACATCTCTTTCTAATTTATATCAGCAACCACCCCATCCCTTCTCTAGTATCATCCAAACATACTCTAAGGAAGAAATTATCTGAATTGAAATAAATCACACTAAGGTATAAGTAAATAAATAGCTGATAGGCATAGTATTTTTACCTACCCAGTATGGTTTGCCTTGCAAAAAAAGAATTTCTTATTCAAGCTAAGTGAAGAGGAGGTAAGAGGTCAATGGTCTTAACAGAAAGAGCTTGAGATTTGGAAATAAATCTTAGTAGTCATTGTGCCCATGTATTCCTGTTTCCTCCTCTCTAAAAAGGTTTAACAATGGCTACTTTTCATGATTAAATTAGATAGTGTATTTCAAGCTTCAAGCATAATGTCTAACATAAAATAGCAGTTAAAAGATAATAAGGAATTAGCACTTAGAAATGGTGTACTTTCGAGTACTCTGGCAAAGAGCTAAGGAAGATATTTTTGAACAGCAGTTCTCTGTTGTTTTCATGTTTTATCCATAGGATTCCTCAAATCTTCCTTGCTTTTTTGGAAAGAGATTTATAGAAATTTAGTAGCCAAATTTACTGAGGCCTTTGCTTTGTAGTTTTAACAATTGCTTTTGCTCATAGCTTGTAGAATGGGTCTTATTAAAATATTTTGGCCACAAAGATGCAGGTTAAAGTCAGCAAGAGATTAACTTTATTATAATCACAGAACATTCCAAAGCTAACAAACCATGATGCAGCTCCGCCTGTCCTCTGTTGTCCCAGGAGCTGCTTCCTCCTGCCCCGCACTGATCGCCACTTCTCACACTTGAACAGTGACATCAGTGAGGGCACTCATGTCTTACGGCTTCCACCATAAGGGAAATCCATTATCATCTTTAAATAAAAGAATGGCTGGTGGTAAATGTCAGCCCATGAGTCTAATTTTACCTTTGGTTTGTGGAGCAGAGAGAAACAAAGCCACCCAGATGTGAGGCAAAATGTGGACAACTTTGAAGGCTGAAATCAAAAGGGCAGATGACAGTAACATAATGGAAATGTGTTATTCCCTGCTCCTGCCTCATTTTTTCTTTTTTACATTTTATTTTTTCATTCTGATCAGAATGTAGTTTAAGAAGAGTCTTACCACCACTGGTAAGTGGTAGGGAAACGTACCTACCACTGGGAGCTATACCCTCTGCATCCTTTGGAAAACAATAATACTAAAACGTCAGCTCAAATCCTCATATTTCATACAACTTTACCCTTTTTATGTAGAATTGTCTGCTTAGTAATTAAATTTGGTGCATGAAGTTTTGAATATAAACTAGTAAATATGAACATTTACTAGTAAATAAATTTAACAATAGCACATTTTCCCAAGAGAAATAAATCTTCCTGCCTCTTGATTAACCAAGATGCATAAAGAGAGGGCATTCATTATTAAATTTGAAAGCTGTGGTTAACATAAAGTTACTGATTTAATCTTTGCTGTTGCAATTACATTAAAAATTATTAATCACATTCATAGCTTTATTAACTAAAGCATCATATCCTGAATGCATATTCTCTGATGATCAGATACCTATATTTCCTTCATGTCTTTATTTTGTACCTGAGAGTACAGTAGATGAAGACACATAAGATACAGGAGAGAGGATTGTATCAACTATAAAATATTCCTTAAAATGTATTCTTTATAAAATAAATTGGTGCATGTTGCCATTTTTAATATGTCCCTATTTCTGGGAGTTAAGTACTGAAAAAAATGAGGGTATTATTTAGTTGAGATTCTATATATTCTGGTTTTACGCTGTACACTAATAAAAATGAACCTGTGATAATACATGGACAGAAAATACAATCTTTCTCCTTTTCCTGCCCTTTTTAAGGACCTAGGTTAGCAGGTAAAAGCAAGATGGTAATCTCATTTTTCTAGGAAGCATTTATTAAACAGCACTTGACCATCTGTGGCAGCTACCTTCTTACTCTTCCTGCATATTTTTGTTACTTTGTACATACTTTTAACTTCTTAAGCTATACTTTGTTTTTACGATCATGTTTTAGCTACCATTTATTATTTCAAGAGAAGGTTTTACCACCCTAGCTTTGTAACTATGGCAGTTATGGTCTGGTGCCTCTATGCCTCTATGAACAATCTTTTTTTTTACCAGTCATCTAGAATTTCATTCAAACCTCCTTTCTTTTCCACAAACAATGGACTTCCTTTAGTCCACATCCTGTCCATTCAATCCATTTCTCTGTTCTCTACTTTGTAGCCTCATGCCTTAATCTCTGTGCTTTATATCCTCTCTGACACTGCTGCCCCGATCACCATCTCCCTCCCAAACCACACCAAGGGCTGCTTTGCATTTTGTGCACACTGAGGCACACGTATCATTTATCACTTACCACAGAGTACTGGTTGTTTTTTTTTTGTCTTTCTATATATGGCAGTGCTAAGTACTGTGTACTCAAAATATTAATGCAGCAAATCAGTAATCTTTTCTATTCAGTAGTGCATGAAGAAAATGCATAAAATTTTCAATGAGTATACCATTTCAAATTAAATAATACCCAAGGAAAAAGAGCAGATGTGATACTTCCCATAGCCAGGCAACAAGACAACAGGCTCTTTACCTTTCTGTCTTTCTTCTCCTTCGAAGTTGCTGCCTTCTGATCCCCAGCTGTTACAGCCACTTTGACCACTTGAACACTTTTCCCCTGTTGGTGTTGGCAGGAAATTCAATCTAACTCCCTTTAATCTTTCACTCACTATAATTCCAAAACACAGGAAGGTTTACTCTGGGGTTTATTTACTTGTTCAGCTTTTAAAGAATGTTTTAAAGAATGTTACAGGGTAAAAAATTCAACACCCCAAGGACTACCTTGGGACAGAGTCTAGAATAAGTTAGTAATTTAAGAGATCTGAAACTCAGTCCTCATTAACCACCCAGTGATGAGTTCAAGAGCTTATCTAGGGGGTCCTGAGAGCCCAAACACCTACCAACCTCTTCAAACACCCACTGACCTCATAGTTTCTGAACAGGGGGTTGGTTATATAACTAAAAGAGACTGCACATGGTTCTTAGAAGAGAAATCATCATTCTAAATATGTCTTTGATATTTATACTTGGACAAATATATGCCTGTCAACTTTTAAATGCTACATTTTTACAAAACTTACTCCCTTGCAAGTTTACGTCATTCATTTGCAAATTTTATTTTTTACTTTATTTTTTAAAATATATTTTATTGATTATGTTATTACAGTTGTCTCATTTTCCCCCCTTCCCTTCCCTCCACCCTGCACACACCCTCCCACCCACATTCCCCTCCTTTAGTTCATGTCCATGGGTCATACTTATAAGTTCTTTAGCTTCTACATTTCTCATACTATTCTTACCCTCCCCCTGTCTATTTTCTACCTACCATTTATGCTACTTACTCTCTGTACCTTTTTCCCCACTCTCTTACTCCCACTCACCTGTTGCTAACCCTCCATATGATCCCTATTTCTGTGGTTCTGTTCCTGTTCTATTTGTTTGCTTTTGTTTTTGTTTTTGTTTTAGGTGTGGTTGTTAATAATTGTGAGTTTGCTGTCATTTTACTGTACATATTTTATCTTCTTTTTCTTAGATAGATCCCTTTAACATTTCATTTAATAAGGGTTTAGTGATGATGAACTTTTTTAACTTGACTTTATCTGTGAAGCACTTTATCTGCCCTTCCATTCTAAATGAAAGCTTTGCTGGGTAGAGCAATCTAGGATGTAGGTCCTTGCCTTTCATGACTTGGAATACTTCTTTCCAGCCCTTTCTTGCCTATAAGGTTGCTTTTGAGAAATCAGCTGACAGTCTTATGGAAACTCGTTTGTAGGTAACTGCCTCCTTTTCTGTTGCTGCTTCTAGGGTTCTCTCCTTATCTTTCATCTTGGGTAATGTAATTATGATGTGCCTTGGTGTGTTCCTCCTTGGGTCCAACTTCTTTGGGATTCTCTGAGCTTCCTGGACTTCCTGGAAGTCTATTTCCTTTGCCAGAATGGGGAAGTTCTCCTTTATTATTTGTTCAAATAACTTTTCCATTTGTTGCTCTTCCTCTTCTCCTTCTGGTAGCCCTATAATTCCAATGTTGGAACATTTAAAGATGTCCTGGAGGTTCCTTAGCCTTTGCTCATTTTTTTTTGTATTCTTGTTTCTCGTTTGTTTCTGATTGGATATTTCTTTCTTCCTTCTGGTCCACTCCATTGATTTGAGTTCCAGTTTCCTTCCCATCACTATTGGTTCCCTGTGCAATTTCCTTTATTTCAGTTAGCATAGCCTTCATTTTTTCATCTAATATGTGACCAAATTCAACCAACTCTGTGAGCATCCTGATTACTACTGCTTTGAACTGTGCATCTGATAGGTTGGCTATCTCTTCATTGCTTAATTGTATTTGTTCTGGGGCTTTGATCTGTTCTTTTGTTTGGACCATTTTTGTTTTTGTCTTGACATGCCTGTTATATAGTGAGGGGCGGAGCCTTAGGTGTTCCCCAGGGTGGGGCAACCCACATCGCTGGGTTGTGATGCTATATGTGGGGGAGGGGTCCAAGAGGGAACAATGGTGTTTGCTCCACTCTCTGCCAGATTTCAGTCACTTCCCCCACTTCCTACCAGCAAATTGAGCCCTTCCGGTGCTGATTCCCTGGTGGGTGGGTTTGTGTATGTTCTAGGACCCGGTGCTGATTCCCTGGTGGGTGGGTTTGTGTATGTTCTAGGACCCCGTGGGTCTCTTCAATAAACTCTCCTCTGAGGCTGGGAGTTTCTCCCTGCAACTCAGCCTCCACAGGGGTTTTCAGTCAGTGGTTTGAGGCTTTACTTTTCCATGCTGGGACCCTGGGTTGGTTGGTCTGTCTCGCTCCCCAGTTTCACCTGGTTTATCTGCGCACAAAAGTGGGACCACCTGGTCCGCCAGCCACTTTGTGCGCCATGCCCCTCCACAATCCACTGCCTCCTTGGGTTCACCGGCTACTGCCTTGTGCACCTGGGATCCGCCAGCTACCACTTTGCTGCGATCCCTCTCCACCTGGCCTCCTGACTCTGGCCCTCCTACCTGTCTGGATGAATGTGTCTACTTTAACTCCTTGGTTGTCAAATTTCCATACAGTTCAATTTTCTGTTGGTACTGGGTGTTTTTTGTTTCTAAATTGTTGTTGATCTTATTTTGGTTGTGCAAGGAGGCACAGTGTGTCTACCTATGCCTCCATCTTGGCCAGAAGTCCTTTATTTTATTTTTTATATTAAAAACAATGTACAGTTTTCATTCTAGTGGATATCATTTCAATTTAGACTTATTTGTACTTTACTTGTTTTACACTTTTTAAAAAAAATATTATGCCCTCAAAATCAGAGTCACAAAATTTTGAGAAAGAAGAATTTGGAATTGGTGAAATATAGTTTGAGTCTTTGAAATTTCAGAAGTAGAGATCAAAGTCATTTTCTTAATATTGCCAAAACTTTCAAGCTCAGTTAATGAGCTTCCTCAATTTGCAAGTAGGATAGATTCCAGGCCCAGTGCTCTTAGATGATTTACCTGAGTCTCCTTGTACAACCAAAGAATGATAGATCTGGACAAAAACCTGGCTTCCTGATAACCACATCATTACTCTTTTTAATGCCAGATAATCTGTATCTATCTCCTCCCACATTTGAAAGATAAACTTAAATCTAGATTTATTTACCAGGACTCTGTCAGAATCATGTACTCTCACACCTATAGGTCAATTTTCCACATCTTTGAAGGGTTTTTGGGGGAGGGGGGAATTTTTGTACTCTAGCTTTTATTATATACAGATTTCTCTCATGCAACTAGCTCTTTAAATTATTTTTGGTTATAATTACCATTATATCAATAACTTTTCTCCTTCACTGCACATTTAAAAGACCATAGGCAATATATGATCTTTTTTTGATAACATAAATCTCTGATTCACTTATTTATAAGATAAAATCTTATAATCTGAAGAGTTCTAAAGTGATCATTATGTTGTAAATATGCCATGAATAAGAGCAGCTTAAAAATGGATTTAATTTCTATTCATACAGTTGTGACTTCTCATCAATTTTTTATAAAGATAATTTTTATTTCAGCCATAATATTTGAGTGCCTACAATGTATGTGGCCTTAGGGATTTGGAAATTAACATACCCAGAGTATATTCTGAGGAATCCCAATCATTTCATCCATGTATTCTGGTTAGTGAGTCACCTGAATTTATAGGAAAAATTCTGTGTGACTGTATTTCCATTCTTTTATTTTTTCTGCAGAAAACAGCCATAACTGTAATTAGGTTCTCCAAAGATTTATTATCTAAAACAAGATTAAGCCCTGGCTGGTGTGGCTCAGTGGATTGAGTGCTGGACTGCAAAGCAGAGTGTTGCTGATTTGATTCCCAGTCAGGGCACATGCCTAGGTTGCAGGCCAGGTCCCCAACAGGGGTGCACTAGAGGCAACCACACATTGATGTTTGTCTCCCTCTCTTTCTCTCTCCCTTCTCCACTCTCTAAAAATAAATAAGTAAAGTCTTTGAAAAAATAAAATAAGGTTAAGAAATGCTCATCTAGGCCAACCCTTGCCTAAACTGTAATGCAGGTACAGAGTTCCAGAAAGATTATTGGTCCCTTTGTTAGACTTCTTACAAGTGAAATTCTACACATACTACATGCATTTTCTCTTTCTCCCTCTCTCTCTCTAGCGTGTGTGCGTGCACACACACACACATACTTTAAGCCTTTTTATGCTTGTTAAAATAAAGGTCTGTTTATGAACATTGGTAGTACAATAACATTTCTTAAAGCTCTTATTTATTTATTTATTTTTAGAGCAAGGGGGAGGGAGAAAGAGAGGGAGAGAAACATCGATGTGAGAGAGCAACATGGTTTGGTTGTACCCCACATACACCCTGACTGGTGATTGAACCCACAACTCAGGCATGTGTCCTGACTGAGAATGAACCAGCAACTTTTCACTTTGTGGAATGCCACCAATCAACTTAGCCACACCAGCTGGGGCAATAGTACAATAACTTTTAATAAAATTAGCTTTTCTATCAACCAATTCCTGACAAAAGAGTCATAGCTCATAAAAATTTTTAATTGGGGTTTGATTTTTTAAATATTTTAATTTTAAAAATATGGTTGATATACAATATTAAATTAGTTTTAGGTGTACTACATAATGATTACATTTTTATATAACTTACAAAGTCATTATTCTGATAGGTCTGACATCATACATAGTTATCACAATATTGTTGACTATATTCTCTATGCTGTGCTTTACATCCTCATGACTATTTTTGTACCTGGCAATTTTTACTTCTTAATCTCTCCACCCTTTTCACCCAGCCTTCCCCAACCCCTCCCATCTGGCAACCATCAATTGTCATCATATCTATGAGTTTGTTTTTGTTATGTTTTTTTTACTTATTTTGTTTTTTAGATTCCACATATAGGTGAAATCATATGGTATTTTTTTTCAACTTGTTGGCAAACTATGTAGATAGTTTCCCTTGCACTCCATATAATTAAGCAGGTAATTTTAGCCTTGTTTTGAGGCTGGATCTATTCCCAAATACACCAATTGCACACAGCCTCTCTGTGATCAAACAGAGCAAAAGAATTAATTTCCTGAATAAAGAATTTCCTCT